CACTTCGTCGTCTGGTCAAACCGGAATTATGTTGCAAGGAAAGCGAGACTTTGTTCGATATTCAAAAGTTCCTACTAGGCCAAGTGAAAACAACCAAGATGACTTGTTGCCAGGAAACACGTCACAAAACGGTGTCCAGCTAAGACAAAACTCATCTGTAATTTTGTCAGAATTTGGTTTTGAGTCATCAGCCAACGCGATCGCCACACAATCCGCAGATGTATATAGAGCTCCTCCTACTCGAACACTTCACCACAGCAAATCAAGCCAATCCCTGCTGATAGCCAAACGAGTAAGGAAAGCTCTGCGAGCCACAAGGACAACAATTATTGCTTTTACGATCACCATTGGGTTTATTCTCAGCTACCTTCCGCATTTGATTCTCATCATCCTGCGCTCTGTGAAGACCGACTTTGAGCACCACTTTGACGATGTGTCTCTGATTTTCTACAATATTTTCATACGTTCTTACTTTGCTAATAACGTCATCAACATTTTCGTGTACGGAACAATGAATCTAGAATTCAGGACTCAGATTCTCAATGTATGGAGCAAGATAAAGTGTTCCAAGAAGCTGAAGTAATGTGTGTGTGTGTGTGTGTTTTTCCTTTTGAAAAGGACTCACTGATTCAACTAGATTATACTAGCTCACTTAAGATACATCTAAGGGCTCTGACTCCCAGAGTTTTGTCAGTCTAATGATTCTAATTATTTAACTCTTTCAATACCAGGTATCACTTTAACAAGTGTCCAGGCGTGATTTGTTCTCATGTGTAAGTGTTAGCAAGTAACGATTACACTGGAGAAGGTTTCGTGTGGCATTTTCATCTTCGTCGCTTCACTGTAGAGAGTGTGCGTGCACAGCCAGCATCATAGTGCTAGACACTAGTGGCTTTCACCTATTACAGTTTCTGCATATCTATGAGTGGTGTGAAGGGGGAGGGGGTGGCGAGGTGGGGTTTTATATACAAATGATAAAAATACAATGGGCAGATAAAACAAGAGTTATAAACATGTCTTGTCACAACATGGAATATAAGAAGAACTGGTCGATCAGACAATGTGTTGAGGACTTCGGAGATATGGTTTTACGGAAAAATCTTCTCAATTCATTGGACAGCCAAAAAAGAGCAGCCCAAATGTTTTGAAAAAAGCGAAAGCTCCAACACAAATTATCATAAGCATTAGAAAAAGACTGTCATCATTGGGTTGGGGGGGGGGGGGAGGGTAGTGGTGGTGGGGTCATGTTATGAGTAGAAAGAAACTGGAACATGCTATGACTTTTGGAAACATCTGTGGGAAAAGATACAGAGGAAGACAACACGAAACGATTCGCAACAGCTTCTTGTTGTGGCTTGGGGGGGAATCAGCACAGGAACTGATATTTGTGCAGGGACTGAAATTGTGTGGGTAGAGGATCGCCCAGTCCAATGGACAAGGTACTTGAAGATGATAAGGGTGATGATGATGATGATAGTGATGATGATAGTGAGGATGATAAATAGGTCACTTGTCTACATTTGTTGTGTGTTCCTTGGATCCTGCTTACTGCCTGAGACCACAGGATAACTGTGGTCTAAATTGAACATTTCCGGAAGAGGTGATTAATTAATTATGGTTCTTGAAAGCCCCCACGCCCCTCTTCTCTCTCCCCCTCTCTCTCCTCCCCCCTCTCTCTCTCTCTCTCTCTCTCTCTCTCTCTCTCTCTCTCTGCGTGTGTCTCTCTCACAGACACACACACATGTATAAATGTATGAATGTATGGATATAAATGGGTATGTATGAGTGTGTGTAAGGAATGATATATATGTGTCTTTATTTGTATGTGAATGTTTGTTGGCACAAGTATATATATATATATATATATATATATATATATATATATATATATATATATATATATATATATATATATATATATATATATATATATTCATTCATTCATTCATTCACTCACTCACTGTCTTGCCTCTTGTCATGCCTTTATGTGTCACATAGGGCTTGCAGTCTCTTCCTCCACTTTTTTCTATCCTGTAAAATTAGTTTAATATTATGGATAGAATCTAGTCCAGCAGCTTTGGCCTCTCTCATCAACGCTCGTTGTAGGGATTCTTGTGGGCATCCTCTCCCTCCTAATCCCGTTGTTTCATACTTCAGTGCCTGTTTGGCGATTCTTTGCTGGTTTCTTCTCAAGATGTGTCCAACCACGACCAGCTCGGGCTAACGATGTGTTGACGCAGCCGTTCTCAAACTGGGTGCCCAGGCACCCCGGGGTGCCGTGAACGTATGCCTGGGGTGCCGCAGTAATAATCAAGAAAAGTCGGTGTAAAATTGTGAAATTATTAACGAAGGCATGTAGATACTTAAAAGTTAACATTTAAGTTGTCTTCCCTCCTCCATGTCGAAAATAGTTTATTTCTTGTTTGAGAACCACTGCGTTAACGCATCATTCGCCCGACTTGGTGACGTCAGCAGCATGGCCCGTCAGCTGGAATCGGTCATGGTCAAATATGGCGGCCATTTTATCTGTCATCTGGTAATACTAGTGCAGATATTTCTCTTATTTATTCACCCCTCTCTTATTTAACCACTTTTATTTTCATCATTTTCCTCACGCATATGTTTTTGAATTCATTTTAACTTTTGTTCCATGTCTTTACGGGGTTTTCCAACTTTCATGTGTATGTATGGTAAGCAGAAATGTGTGTATATGTGTAAGTATGAATGTGTATATATTATTTAATTGAATTTATGTATGTTAAGGAGTATGTGTATGAGTGTACGCACAAATGTGAGTGTAAAAATGTATGTGTTTTACGTTTGCTTGAATGTATGGTAATATTGTATGCATATGTATGCACGTGTAGGTCCACGTATATGAGTGTGTAAAAATACGTGTGTGCGGTATTTATAATGCATCAGCAGTATGTGTGTATGTATGTGTATGAACGTAGGTGTATGTACAAGTGTGTGTATTATGTGTATGTATGATTCTGTGTGCGCACGCGCTCATGTGTGTGAATGAATATGTGCATGTATGGACTTTTATGTGTATGTATATTTATGGAAGTGTGTGCATAGGTATGTGTGAGTATGTATATATGCATGTGTGAGTGTGTTTATGTATAATACTTGTAGGTTATGTATGCAGTTGCTATGTACAAAATGATAATTTGGAAAGACAGAATAAAATGCGGGTCTTGGTGCCCATTTTGTGTCCCTTTCTTTCTTTCTTTCTTTCTTTCTTTCTTTCTTTCTTTCTTTCTTTCTTTCTTTCTTTCTTTCTTTCTTTCTTTCTTTCTTTCTTTCTTTCTTTCTTTCTTTCTTTCTTTCTTTCTTTCTTTCTTTCTTTCTTTCTTTCTTTCTTTCTTTCTTTCTTTCTTTGTTTCTTTCTTTCTTTCTTTCTTTCTTTCTTTCTTTCTTTCTTTCTTTCTATCTTTCTTTCTTTCTTTCTTTCTCTCTCTCTCTCTTTCTTTCTTTCTTTCTTTCTTTCTTTCTTTCTTTCTTTCTTTCTTTCTTTCTTTTCTTTCTTTCTTTTTTTTTTTATTATCTTGCCCCATTTGTACAATGTCTCATACTAATGTTCGCCCATCTCTGAATATTGTCCTCCCACGTGTATCGGTCGGAGCCAGACTTTTCTTCAAAAACGACCTTGGCTCCCAGTGTGGCCCAGCCTTGAGTGGGTACCGGGTGCAATCCCGCAAAGTAGAGGCGGCCGGCGTAATGCTGACCACATTACCCATCTTCTGCTTTTAGTCTATAAAATATAGGTCTATTCCTGTATGCCCTATACGCCTAAAGGCGTGGAATAGGGTCCTTTACTTTTACTTTACTTGTATCGGTATCCATCTCTCATATCTTGCTTAAACTGTTCCCTCCAGAAGGAAGTGCTACAGGCGGTCGAGGAACTTTAACTGTCTGTTTTGCGTGAAGAGCCTGTGGTTCAGTACCTGCAAGCGGGTTACAGTAAGAAGTCCGAGAGCGTGTATCTCTTCCGTGACATCTTATGGCTGTGAGTCACGGACTCACTCAATCTTTGAAGAAAAACAATCGGAGCTTTTGAATTGAAATGCTTCAAGCAAAATTCTTCGATTGCCGTGGTCCAAGAAGAAGAAAAACACCAACATCCTGCACGATTTGAACATCGAGAATTAAATCATTAACAGTCCAGTCTTGATTGAAACATGGGGAATTGGCTCATAAAAAGCATCCTGTCTTGATTTGAACATCGAGAATTGGTTCATAAACAGATCCTATTTTGATTTTAACATCGAGAATTGGCTCATTAAATGATTCTGTCTTGATTTGAACATCAAGAATTGGCTCATTAAATGATTCTGTCTTGATTTGAACATCGAGAATTGGCTCATTAAATGATTCTGTCTTGATTTGAACATCGAGAATTGGCTCATTAAATGATTCTGTCTTGATTTGAACATCGAGAATTGGCTCATTAAATTATTCTGTCTTGATTTGAACATCGAGAATTGGCTCATTAAATGATTCTGTCTTGATTTGAACATCAAGAATTCGCTCATTAAATGATTCTGTCTTGATTTGAACATCGAGAATTAGCTCATAAACAGATCATGTCTTGATTTGAACATCGAGAATTGGCTTATCAAAAAATCCTGTCTTGATCTGAACATCGAGAATTGGCTCATTAACAGATCCTGTCTTTATTTGAATATAGAAAATTGGCTCATTAAAAGATCATGTCTTGATTTGAACATCGAGAACTGGCCCATAAACAGCATCATGTCTTGATTTGAATATAGAAAATTGGCTCATTAAAAGATCCTGTCTTAATTTGAACATCGAGAACTGGCCCATAAACAGCATCATGTCTTGATTTGAACATCGAGATTCGGCTTATTAACAGATCCTGTCTCGAAAGCTGAAGAATTTTAGCCATGTTAAAATCCATATTGACCAGGAGAAAACAACGGTTACAAGTACAGTTTCCAGAATACAACGCAGATGCCGGCCTTCAGAAATGTGGATACAAGACACTGAAGATGCTTTGACCATGGAAAATTGGAAAATTGGCTAGAGAAAGAGAGACTTTTCTGTGTGACGGGAAGAGAGCGACGTTCTACGAAGCAGGTTTGTCACACAGAATGTCCTCCGATGGCAGTATGGCTCATATTTGTTTTGTCTCGAGGGCCACACACAACTAGAGAGAAAATTTGATAAATTAATATTATTGTTATTATTATTATATTATTTGCAAAGGGTCGCATATTTGACATGCCAGCTGTAAAGGATCCACTGACTGATTCTAATTCGTTCGTTAGCTGATAAGTCCGTGTGGCTTCATTCTTTTTCTTTTCTCGTGTCACTGATACCAGGCTCTAGCTCAGTGTTGTGGTTTGTCTAGTGCTTCTCCAGTGCCTTGGATGATGGATTTGTTTATCTTTTTTTTTTTTTTTTTTGCAGGTTTCAGCTACATCATTTATCCATCTTTTCTTGGTCTTTCCATCGACTTCCTCCCAAATGTTCTGCTGTTTAAAAAAAAAAAAAAGCCCATGCAGTTTGGTCTGGGCTGCAGTCCTACTAGATGGCTGAACTATTTCATTCGTT